GCTAAATAGATATATAGAAGTATATAAAATGTTATGAGTATCAATTTAAGTAATTGGTATTTTTTTTCACATTCTTGTTGTGTATTGTAAATAAAAATATGTATTTATTAATTTTGTCTTTAAATTTATCAACGATTCCCAGCGCAATGCAGACCTAGCGGTTGCAGGTGGATTAACTGACGGCTATTTTTTAAAGGACAATTTATTATGGCCGACCACAATTTTGCTGACACGAAGATAAAATTAAGTGTTTTAGTAGAATGATATATTTCGAATTACAAATTTAGAATTTTCTCTTTATATTCTAAAAGTGACTTTATCAGTTATCTATATTATGAGCAAATCAAATGTTTTTAGCTTTTATTAAGAATGTGCCGCTTTAATTTAACATGATTAATATTAATTAGAAATAATTGAATACGTTGAATAAGTCAATAAATAGATTCAGTTTTCAAGCTCTAAATTTATAATTCTTGAAGTTGAAACCTTTTATTGACTGTGTAATCATGAAAAGATAATAATCAGTTTTAGAAGCAATTCTTCCATCTGTACATTTATTTATAGGATTACACGCGGTTGATTCTTTGTAATGATATACACAAAAGACTAGCTATATGAGACAAGTATTTAAGGTTTAATAATTCATAGCGAACCTTCACTTTAAAAGAATTTTTCCTTCGGACCCATTAATATAAGTCACGTTTAATAATATAAAATTTAGTAGGTTTAATTAAAAAATAACAACAAATTTGTAACATTTACTTTACGCTTCTTTTACTTTCGTATAGTCGTATATAATTTTACTTAAAATAGCCATATCAAACGGATTTCTCAGAATTAATTGCTGTCTAACTATTTGATAGTTTGGGAAATAGCAATTAAAACTAGAATCTAATAATAAAATTAGATAAGATATTGTATTTTATAATATTGTCTTATTTTGTAATTATTTTCAGCTATCTCTGTTCAAGTAATCCATGAGCATTATTTCTTTTAACTCAATTTTATATTCCACATCGAACTACACTTAAATGGTCGTCAGATGGCGCAGTAAGCTAGTGTTGTTCGCTAACTCGTTTTTGCTAAATGGCCATTTTGATAAACAGCCCAAGCGTAATGAGTTTTAAGTGCCATTTGTTGATATTTATTTCTGTTTATTGTAATTATATTTTTAATTTTCGTCTTATGTTTTGAAATAATTATTATATAATAAGAATAAAAACTTCCTAGACGTTATGAAAAAAATTGTCTATTCAGTAAGAAAAGTTCGCAACATGAGCAATTGGTTTTCAGGTGTTACCTGTGCAATAATATAGCAGTGAACGATTAATCAGAGAACAACCGGAACGAAAATCTAATTAGAAACAAAGAAAAAGACGCTTAAAAATGTTTATCTTGGACACAATTATTTATCGGAGAATTGGTAGACAAATTTGGTTTATTTATCCCTAATGATTCTCGGTACAAAATTTCTAATACTTTATAATAAAATACGAAGTCAATTTGCAAATTATAACGGCATGAGTTTCTTTGTAATTTGTCCTTAAAAAATTAAAGATTTTTTAAGACAAAATATTAACTAACTTGTAATATTAGAAGTAACTCGTTTGAGAATGCAATTAATTATAGCAACTTGCGATCCGGGTCTAAGCTCGGATTTGAATTCTAAAGCAATGATTGTGTTCGTAACTAATTTAGTTACCAAAACTTAAATAGAGTAGAACTGATATGATTTAGTAATAGTTTCACTCACACAGGCATTCTTTTAAATAAATTTCTACTATAATAATAATAATAATAATAATAATAATAATTTATTTCAGATCTTAATCCATATTGTGTTAGTAAAAATTAAACTTAATAAGCTAGTTGGTTAGTAAAGTTACAAAAATATATTTTATTTGACTACATGGAGTCGTATCCAATGTGCCAAGATTGGCGAATCCCAGCGATCTAACAATGCGTGCAGGATTGTGTTGGGACTGTCCCGTACTCGTCGAAGTAAGGACGCGCAGCGTTTGCGCATGATGGAAGCAAAACCATCTGTGTGAGCCTCTGAACTATGCAGAGTATTTAGCGAAAATGTTATATATTCTAAAGTATCAAGAATTTTCCATGAAATAGCCTTGAGATTCCATCCTTTATATAATATCTAAATGTATCGGATATTAAAGTAATCCAACAAAAAAATTCTTTTAAATTTTATTTAGCAGTCCATAAGGTTATAAACTAGAGCACGCAATCAATTAAGCCTAATAATATTAACCATTTCCTTTTGTGTTAAATCATAAATATTGTATTTTGAAATACTAGGTCGTCAGAATAATTAGACCTAACATTTTACGGCAGCTACAGAATAAATTTATTATATCGTAAAATTTACCTAACTTTGTACATGGGGTCGTTTACTTTACTTTCGTAAAGTGAACCTACTTCCCGTATTCCTAGAGGCCTAATTTAAGCCAGTCACGAAAATATGTGTACGATACAATTATGGAAAATTTTCCAAGAAACTTGGCCATGGTGGTTCAGCAATTGCCTCTTAGTGGAATATTTTGTTTAATACTAGTAATTGCGAAGAACTTTCGACATTTGAATGTTTCATGGTGGCTGAAACAAATGTAAAGTATAATTTTATTTAAAGTGGAAGAAGAAATTTATAGAATATTCGGCATCGTTTCGATGTTTTCACAGTATCACAGTAGTTTGATGCGGTCCGCAAAAGGAATCAATATTTAAACATATTAAGCTATAAGAGAAAACTATGAAAGAATACGTCCATATTCATGGATCAATTAAAATATTAGTAAATAATCTAAAAACATAAAAAATAATGGAAAGAGAAACTGTTCAGGTTTTAGAAAAAAATATATATTTTATTTTAAACAAGGAAAGTATATACAATTGATAAAAATATTTAATCTTTGAGCTACACAGCCTAGACACTAACAGAGGCTACAATAATGCGCAATTACATCGTTCTCAGAGCCTTAATTGCCTTTAAGACTATAAAGGGACATGCATCGCATTAATTAAGCCAGTGCGTTGAAGCGAGACTTTTCAATTTTCCTCTTTTGTTTTCACACTTCGCTGAGCTATTGTCAGCCTCTGAATATTTTCATTTATCTGTGAGATTTAATTAATTTTCTTACGTTAAGTTACCTTATTGTTTTGTATGGTTTCTTTGTTAGGCCCTTTGAGGGTTTGAATGTAAATTGGATCATCCTGAATTTTAAACCTTCCTGTTTACTTTGTTCCCTATTTCCTTCGAAACGTATGTTTGTATGGAGTGTTAATATTTTCACAAATTAATTAAATTATTAGGAACCTACCATTGTTACTAATAATATTCCTGGTCTTTCACGTTTTAAAATTAGTACCCAAACTTTTGCAGTAGTTTATTTTAATATTCTGAAACTATAATAATTGTCAATTATTTAAATATTTTAATTCTAAAAAAAATATAATTTAGATATGTTAAGTGTTGTACATTTTAACTTAAACGGTAAATATAAGTTAACATTCTTAATTATATATATATATATATTTAAATAATAAATATAAGATATAAAATATCTTAATTAAAACTATTATCAAAATGAAAACTGTAGGTATATAACGAATAATAAATAAATATTTATAGTATTAAGATTTGTTTAACATACTCGTAATAAAAAAATTACAAAATGAGGCTAAAAGTAATAGCAGAACAGAATAAACAAGCTATTTATATCTTATAAGATATTTTTTATCTTTAATTATATTTTTCACTAGTATAGGTTTCTGTCCAGAATCAGGGATTTTCATTGCAATGAAAGTTTTTATGAATGTATTAGTGTTCTTGACACCATATCTTTGATTAATTTTCTTATTTTTTAATTATAATTTCTTAAGTCTACGTTTTGTAACTATCGCAATATAGTAATTTAAATTATTTTACTATAAAAGCGACTAGATGTTATGTATAATGTTTGTTTTCCTTTTGAGAAATATTTAAACATTAAAGCTGTACATTTCAATATTGACGATAATGATTTCAGAGAGGATTTATTTAATGATATTTGAAATCGAAATTCCGGGCTAAATATTCCAACTTAGCTTCAACTAACCAAAACATCACTATTTCATAGAATCTGGAATTAATTTTAATTGGACAAGTCACGATACATTCACCGCTATTTCCCTATAGGTTTAAGAGACATCTATATTAACTGCAATTATTCATTTATATCAATAAATTTAGTTTGTTAAATATGTTAAAATTTTATTCTATATGTGGGTAATTTATGATTTTACTTTCTATATAAGAAAAATCTGATAGTAAGGAGTGTGATTAAATATTTAATCATCTTGAGACTGAGTCAGTATAAACGTAAATTAACCATTTTTACTTATATTTCATATATATTTATATTTTATTTAAAAAAAAAAACAGTTAATTCACAAAAAATCTTTTTTTTTTATTTCTCTCTTTTATTAAAAAAAAAAACTTAAAATGTTTCTAACATGAATTTAAAAATCTAAATGCAAATCACGTTATGTCGTGGAAAAGGTATAAAGATTTTAATTTAACTCGACCCGAACCGCCCATATATCTTTCAAGATGCATTATGACAAATTGCAATTGCCTCGTTGATTGCAATTTGCCATTTAGACAATTTCGCGAAAATGCAATTCTGGGTTTCATATTGAATGCGTTACATCCCGAGCCAAAAATTTTATACTTTGTGCCAAACAGCCTCCCATACATACAGCTTGAATAAAAACGTCTGAAAGATAAACGAGAGGTTGTTATGGTTCTTAGCAGTAATTAACAACATGAGATAAAAATAATATTAACAAAAGAAAAAAAAAATTTTTGGTATGTACGAATCTTCAATTTATACATCTAATACATTTATATGTGTACATATAAATAAGTATATATGTATAATACACTTACCTTACATAGTATAGCAGTTATATAACAATAAATAAATTTAAATATTTTTTTGTTACAGATCGGCAACCTGAACCATTATTATTTATTTTCACATCCTCACATAAGCAAGAGATCAGTGAACGCGAGCAAAGAATATGAAATTCGTCTCAAGAATGACCCACAGGTAATGTTTGATACAATTTTTTTTATTTGAATAAAAACTTAGTACCTACTCCATGCATTCACTAATCTATAGAACACTATTACCAAACTATTACATACTGGTTATAATATATAATAATATCGAAAAATAAACGTTAAACGATATCAGAGGCAATAAATTTCAGAAGGTTATTTCCATATTATATATTCACCGCCGAAAGATTTACAGCTGTAGTAAGCGAAATGTTTCACAAAAGAAACTTAAATAAGAACTTTAATGCTCCTGGGGCTTATTTTTATACCATTAGACAATTTGGCGCTAGACGCCGCTCTGAGTGCCCCATAAAGTTTTCAATCTATAAAGTAGTATTAATTAGAAAGTACGAACTCGCCTGGACTCGATAAAATGCAAAACGTTTTTTTATTTAATCATCGGTCGTCTTAAATATGCAAAGTGGTTTTATTCTCTAGCGTTTATAGTTTTAACAGCAGATATATTTTTAATAAACTGAAACGAACCGAGCTTATCTTAGCTTTGGGTTTGTAGTTTAAATCTACTCATGTAGATATCTATTTAAAATACGCATAAAATACGAGTTATTTTATTTTTAATCAATAATTAAATTTAAAAATCTTTTAATTTCAACGTTCATACATAACACAGTAATATTTATATAAGCGAAATTCCGATATAGTATAACCAGATAATTGTTTCAGAAATAAATTAAGTACAATGTGTTTTGTGCCGGCCAAACGGAATCAATAAACAAATTCGTTTAGTATTTGATGAGAATCGCTTCCACAATAGAAATACTTCAATCAATCAAGACTTCAGAATCATTTCATTTGAATAAATATTCTCAATTTATCAAATAATAGATGATTTGCGAAGCGATGCCGGAGCTGAATTTTGTTACGGAATATACAAACGTTTTGTACGTTAATTTATTATCTGTATTAAATTTGAGAATGATTGGAATGTTTTGAGAAAGGTCTGAGAGTTTCTGAATGTTATTCATACTTTTGATTAAGAATTAACTTTTGTTATTTATCACTCAACATTTTGAATAAATGCAACTTTACAATTTCAGCTTTGTTTTTGACACAGAAGTCATTAATATTATTTTGATTTTTAACTTTTATAAAGAAGAAAATTCTTTATAATAAAATTTTCAATGATCTGAGCAATAAAATAAAAAATTGTGTCTTGATATGAAAGAAACGTAGCAGAGAAAAGGACAAATCTTATGGGGAATTTATAACCATTCTATGTTTCAGATTAAATTTAGTCTACCGATGAATATTAAAGTATCCATATTAGAGAGTTGGTAGATTCAGATGAAAGGGAATTTTGTAAAGGTCGAATTTTTACCACGATTTCGTCTGATCATACTGAGTTATCTGGCAGAAATATTTCGCTATAAATGTCAAATAAATGTCCCCGATATCATTCTTGTACGCCCAAATAATTCTAAAATACAAAGGGCTTAAAATGTATAACATTTAGGATATGTGTATGTGGTTAAATTTTATCATTATATGTATATGTTCGTGAATATATTACGATGCAATGTAATGAATATAAATTAATGCATTATAATAAAAAAAAAATGTAGTACTTTTACTTATACCCTTAATTTGAAAGTAGTTTGTCTGTGTGCCTTTGAATTTAAGTTACGCTGTATTTGGTGATGAAATTATAATATTATTGTAAATCAAAAGTTTTGAGAAAAGAAACATTTCATTAAGTCAAATAAGACTAGATTAGAACGCTAAAGTTTATATTTTTTATTTAAAGCCGTTATTAAATTTTCTAATAAAATAAAATAAGCTTCTAAAGTTATACATTAATTACTTTTCGTTTGTTACTCGGAAAAAACTCATTTTTATTCCAATACTCTTAACAAAATTTATCAATGAGAGAAATATGTTGAAAGCAATACGTATTTTGAATAATGTGCTCATAATACATCTAAGGGAAACTGAGGTAGCAACTTCTAAATTTCGAAGATCGTGTTTGTAAGCCTCGGTAAATTTTGCTTTGCTTTGATGAAGTAACCTAATCATTTTTTATTTAAATTGTTCGTGATTTTTTATGGATCTTTCCTTGGGTTTATCGTATAAAAGTCTTTTGTCTTATTTCAGGAATTCTTTTGAGTTCATAATAAAGTAAATAATTTTAATGACTTTAATATCAAAGTTAGTTTATTTTTTTAAAGGCCTCAATAAACTACTAAAAGTATACTTGTGTAAATGATGGTTTCAAACCTAAACCTTGACTAAAGTATTACAGGGAATAAATAGTACATTTAAATGCAATTTTTCATTTGATCAACAATTTGAATTCTGTTAGATACTGCCTACAATAAGGAATATTCTGTTTATTTCACTCAATAATTCAAAAAAACTTTTAAATACTCTGAAAAGTGGTTTAGTTGTATCAGTCAATTAGTATTATTTTTCACATATTTCTCTCTTACTTAAACTATGTGCTAAAAGTTTTTATAATGTGTGAAAATTATAAAAAATGTATTTTGAAACATTTAAAAAAAAAAATTGATTAAACATTAAACCATGATTTTCGAAAATTAGGCGACGTCGGTATCTAAGATTTTCGCGTTTATTCATTTTATCTCCTACGTTTCTATAAGTCTACGACAACCGTGATCACAGACAGACCAGAGACACTGCCAATGTCTGCCAAATGTAAAAATAAAACAATTAAATCTCTTAAATACCAGAAAAAAAGTTAAATTTTAAGTATCAGATATCATTACGCAAATGTTATTGAAAGACTTGAATTTAGAGTTGTCTCAATTATTTGTAGTTCAACAATGTCTTTCTGGGAAGTGAATGTTAAATTGACAGGTTATAGTAGTATTTTATATGCAAATATCAATGTAATCCGTTTTAAAATTGAGATTCTTATGGTACCTAACAATAGTTTGGATTATTTCAATCTTCATAATTATATAGAAACAGATATTCACATCTACTAACAAATCTGTACAAGTTAAATTTGATTCCTTGTTAAAGAATAATGAATAATTTCGTACGAGAGTCATAATTATGAAGTTACATAATGTAAATTGAGGCCAACTTTAATTATAACTTACATAGAACTTAGCCTACACGATACATATAAATTTTATTGCAAACTTACCGAGCAACTTGCAAGAACTTGGTTTATAAATGCTATTGAATTTCAATATGTACTAAGTAAAACTGTAACAATATACATTTAGAATTTCAATTTTACAATTAAAAACTACACTATATCTAAGATATACATGAATATTTATTCTTAACTAGCTTTCCGAACACAGTTTCGCCCGCGTGGAGTTCGGTTATATCGCGTTTCTAAGAGAACCTTTCAAAAGTCTGGGATAAAAACTGTCCTATGTTCTTTCTCAAGGTCAATTCCATCTCTGTACCAAATTTCAATAAAATCAGTTCAGTGGTTTAGACGTGAAAGCGTATAAGACAGACAGACAGAGTTACTTTCGCATTTACAATATTAGTAGGGATAAATGTTTGTGTTCATAAATGAATCTATCACAATCTACAGATTATTTATGTATATTAAATGTTTTAGTACATTGTTATAAATACTAATTTGTATTACATAGTGAGTAGATTGTCACCGATAATATAGAAAATAAATGAATATATAAATCAATTTAATATAATGTAATTATATTAGGTGAGATGGGTGATGCAGCAGCGGGAGCTGAAGAGAAGCAAGCGGGATCTGTATCCACGTCACGTCATGAGACAGTCCATGCCAGCATTCCCAGATCCATTGTTCAAAGAACAGTGGTATCTTGTAAGTAACCCATTTAATTATTACGAGCAGCTTAGCTATAGATTATATGTAGTTAGTCGCAAATGAATTGAGTATAGCTCAGTTGGTAAGTAAGCCAGTGGTGGCTTAGTGGTTAAAGAGCCCGCATCTCGTGCACGAGCGCTCGATCCTGGCAAGTACCAATGTGATTTTACCGAATCATATGTACTTTCTAAGAGAAATTAGACACCACTGACAGGCGGTGAAGGAAAACATCGTGAGGAAACCTGGACTTATAATTTCACAATTATAAATTTGAAATCGCCAACCCGTCTTGAGTAAGCATTGTGATTAATGCTCAAAACCTTCTCCATGTGAGAAAGAGGTCTTTGCTCAGCAGTGGGCTCTGATAGGCCGATGAAAGTTGGTAAAAAGTGTTTCTCTAAGTAATACCTATAGAGACTGACTAAATACTGCTCCATTTAAAAACTAAAATAATATGTTCTAAAAAAATGGTAAAAAGCTTGTATCGCGTTTAATTCATATAATACATACCCTAATATAGTTTACTCTATATATATTTTATATCTTAAAAGTTGAACGGAATGGTATAAATTGTTAAATTAATTTTGCAACTAATAAAATCCGTTTCCCTGTACTGAGATGTCATTGTCTGCATATGTGCTAATGACCTGCAATTGCATGAGAAATTGAATGGTAATACGATTAGCAAACCATCTGTTCTCTAAATGTTTTATTAAAACAGATCTGATGACTGCAAAATTTCGTGTCTACTGACATAAATCCGAACTTACTCGTAGTATTGATAGAACGGGGGAGTCGGCGAAAAGTTATACAAATTCTTAATATAACTTGATTTTTCAAATTGTATTTCACCTATTTTATGCATGTGCAAGTCTTAGGGATTTCTAGGTCTTAAGAATTTCCTCAGCTGGAATGTGCTATTAAAAGGAATAATATTGCAAAATTTTATGGTACATCGCATCCTTTGTTGAAGCTCAAAAATTTGTCCCATATTCTTAAGATACGCTTCATATTCTCAACTTCTTAGTACTTCCTATAATTGATAATACTGATGTTCGTTTAACAAAAGTAAATTAAATTTCTCAAAAAAAAAAAACTCCTTTGCTGACTTAACACCTACTTCAGGAATATATTCGGGCTACAACATTTTTTATCAAGTCTCTGCTTTTAGAATACAACTATGTTGGTTTTCGATATTGGACAGCAGTATAACCCTGTTTTGCCAGCTATATTAAATTTTATTCAATTCAAGTACACATGCACATGTGAATCAAATATAGATTTTCCTTTTTATCCGATGTTCATGAAAGACAGCTTCGCTCTTTACCAACATGCTTCATACTTGTCTTCATCGATTCATTTTTAACTCGGTTGAATTGACTTCGTTTCAAAAAATCATCGTTTTATATTATTTCTTTTTTTGTGTATGTAATTTGTTCAGTTTAAGTATGAAAGAAACAGAATAACTAATTTAACTTTTTCGCTAAAAATACAACGAATAATTTTATATAAAACGATAGTCCAAGAAAGAGTATCTCATTTCTTAGAGCTATAAAACAATTCAATCAACGCTTCATGACTAGATTTTACTCAACCGAAAAGAGCTTTAAGTTTTATATAATCAAAGTTATTGCAGTAAAGACAGTTTCATATCTAGTATCAGTAGAGAATATTGTCATTTTGTAAATGACTGAAAGGTTTAAATTTAGTCATTAATTTATCTTACGTCTATTTGGAGTAAAATCATATATTATGGAGCAGTTTCAGTAAGTACTCATGCTTTCTATAGAACTAATTTACAAATGACTCCTTTATAAATGTCGATTGAATCACTTAGAGAAATTAGACGGGAGGGACATAAAACTATATCGTTGAACTTACGTTATCTTATTTCAAATATAATTTTGTTATTATTATAACTGTTTAAAATCATATTATATATTTTTTTACTATACTTTTGTGACTCTGGTTTTAAAGACGTCAGTAGTATAAGATATAATTTAGGTATAACGTTTCGAAACAATCTAATTCATATTTTGTTAAAATATCAGGGAGTTTAACTTTTTTTTGAAACACATTTTATGAATAAATATTAATAGGTGGTAATAATAAATATAAACATAATCTTAAATATCTATAATAACATTAATATTGGCAACAAAATATAATTCTAAAATGAAACTGAAAATTTAAAACTTGATACGTTTTATGTTTTCGTGAATTCTGTAATTCATAAACTTTTTCTTGCTGACGATTTTCATTTGTTTATTTATTCATATAAAGAATACAAAAGTTCGGTCACGTAGATAGATACTAAATATTCTTGTGAGAATAGTAACTGCTGCAAAACACGCTGGCTAGAGAATGAAATAAATTCACAAACAGATGATCCTAGGAGAGGAAAGTCGGAGTTATAACACCCTATCATTTCTGCTACATGCTTCGATGAACCCTAGTTTAAAGAAGTCCCTTGTAAATTACATTAAAGCAGTTCTCTTACGTGTAGCCTTACAAGTTTGAATAAAACATTTACTTGTAAGTGTAAACATTTTTGGTTACATTTTTTATTATATATTTAAATTTTCCACACTATATTTCTATTAAATCACTTATTGGTAATAATATTTTTTTTATTAATATAACCAAAAAGTTATAATATCTTATCTTTATATTTTTAAAAACCGTAGCTTATTTGTCAGTGCTTCAAAGAGAATAACAAAATACAATTGTCTGCAAAATATATTCTTTTATATGTCACATAAATGGAAATGTAAAAACGTGATTTTGATTTATGAAAATTATGATATTTTATACCCAAAAAAGAGACATTATTATATTAATCCTCCATAAAAATGAATATCGAGATGAAATAAAATCAGTCTATTATGCAATAATTTCATATAAATTATTACATTTTTTATTACATCCACGAAAACAATACGAAATATCTCACCTAAAAATTAGGCGATGTCTTTTTTAACTCTTTGTTATGAATTAATTTAACTAACTTTAACCTTTTTACATTGAATCTGATGTTAAATCATAAAAAAACTAAATCTGTCTTCACACTGCGTTGAATGTTACAAGCGTGTCGGTCGATCACGTGTTAGTCTAGCATCAAGATCACGAACTCACGTAACTGTAACACTTCGCTTTCACTCCGAACTTAGTTGAAGCTCATGATGCATATCCGATTAAACGGTGCATAGCCGACTGATCTAAGTATACCTGACTTCAAAGTAATCAAGCATGCTCTCTATCGGTTTCAGACAATGAATTAATTTAATTCTGTGAATTGACTTTCAATTAGTAGAATTTTTTTCTTTTTGTCACGTTGTACAATTTATGTGAGTTAACTTAAAATGGACAGATATTGAGTATGAATTAATATTTAAAACTTACTAATAAGTGAGTATTAAATATGAAAACTTTACTTCTACTCATATAGCAAATCTTTCTTTAATAATAAACAACCGGAATATGAATAAAATGTTATTTTATATTATATTTTATTATAAAATAAATATATATGAAATCACTACTCCTATGAAACACTTTACGATTTGAAAAAGAATACTTACGATAGGATTATCAATTTCGGAATGTATTTCCAATATGTGACAATAATTATTTAAAGAGTACGATAACTTGATGACAAATCTTGTTGCTAAAACCGAACTACGGGCTACCGTCTTCAAAAGAACAACTTGGTTTTACCACCAGTACTTACTGTATTGCATAACATACTTTTTATATTCCTCCTGTATGCATTTAAAATTAAATAAACGCGGAAATTAATTAAAAATTGTGTATTATATGTATTTAGTCGATTCGCGGAGTTCAATATGTCATATTCAGTATAATATTTATTATTGGTATATTTTTAAATGTTAAATTTTTTGTACAGAATGGTGGTGCGGCTGAAGGTTTAGATATGAACGTCGGGGTCGCATGGAGAAAAGGTTATACAGGAAAGGGGGTCGTAATAACAATACTCGATGACGGAATCCAACCTAACCATCCGGACCTGTTGCAGAATTATGTACGTAAATAATCTTCTATAGAAATCATATGTTCGACTAACCAATAATATCTATTGTACTTCTTATACAGAATTTTAATATTTGTTAGAATCATTAATTTAAGTAACTTAAATGAAAAGAGATCTAATTATCATATCAATAATGTTGAATTATAGTTTGAAGTTGCAACAGCATCAAAAGTTTAATGGAGTAATATTCGTTACAAAATTTCTTACGCTTCAGAAATAGAAGGCAATTTTATAGGATAGTTAAGCTTCGTTGGAACAGTTCAGGCTTCTTCATTTATGTAATGTTCATAAAGAGGGTTACTCCCCCCCACACTACTTAAGTTTCATTGCTTTCAAGGGATTTCTGTATACATTTGTGGTTTCACTATTGATTACAATGTAAAATCTTCTGGTTTTATTAATTAATATTGATAGTTAATTAAAGAAATTAACACCAGGATAAAACAAAAGGAGTCTTAAGTGATAAACGCTAAAAATTAAATAAATATTAAAAATCACTCACAAGTTTTATATTAACAAAAAATAATACATTTATTAAAATTTTACGTAGGAATTTATAAACGTTATTGGCATAAAAATAACATTTAAAAAATAGGATCCCGCGGCATCGACTGACATAAACGGAAATGACACCGATCCAACGCCGCAGGATAATGGCGACAATAAACATGGTACCCGGTGTGCGGGGGAAGTCGCCGCAGTAGCGTATAATAAATATTGTGGCGTAGGAATCGCATACAATGCTAGCATTGGTGGTGTGAGAATGCTAGACGGCCTAGTTAATGACGCAGTGGAAGCTAAAGCACTCGGCTTCAACACTCACCACATAGACATTTATAGCGCTTCCTGGGGACCGGAGGACGACGGAAAAACGGTCGACGGACCTGGCCCCTTAGCTAGAAGGTATTGTCTAAATACGATCTAAAGAGATAGCTAGAGGCGAGCTCATTAAAACCAGTTTTTTATTTCAGAGCTTTTATCAACGGCGTAACAAATGGCAGAGGGGGAAAAGGTTCTATTTTTATATGGGCATCAGGAAATGGAGGAAGGCATACCGATTCCTGTAATTGTGATGGCTACGCAAATAGTATATTCACAATTTCAATTTCTAGTGCTACACAGGGAGGTTACAAGCCATGGTATTTAGAAGAATGTTCCTCTACTTTAGCATCCACATATAGTTCAGGGACACCAGGTAGGGACAAAAGTGTTGCAACCGTTGATATGGACGTTCAATTGCGTCCAGATCATATTTGTACCGTAGATCATACGGGTACCTCGGCTTCTGCGCCCTTAGCGGCGGGAATTTGTGCACTAGCATTAGAAGCAAATTCATTATTAACATGGCGGGATATGCAACATCTTATCGTTATGACCTCCAGGTCACAACCTTTAGATAAAGAAGAAGGATGGATCGTAAATGGTGTTAAAAGAAAAGTAAGTCATAAATTTGGTTACGGTCTCATGGATGCCGGTCAAATGGTATCATTAGCTGAACAATGGATAAATGTTCCACCGCAACACATATGTAAGTCACAAGAAATAAACGAGGACAGGGCAATTGAAACTTCTTTCGGATATACGATATCCGTTCATATGGACGTAAATGGTTGTAGTGGTACAATGAATGAAGTTAGGTTTTTGGAACACGTTCAATGTAAGATTTCGTTAAGCTTTTTTCCAAGAGGTAATTTACGGATATTGCTGACGTCGCCAATGGGTACTACGTCTACCTTATTGTTTGAAAGAACTCACGATGCTGCTAGTTCTAATTTTGACGATTGGCCTTTTTTAAGTGTTCATTTTTGGGGTGAAAATGCCGAGGGACGATGGACACTTCAAATAATAAACGCCGGCAATAACCATGTTACTCAACCGGGAGTATTAAAAAAGTGGCAGCTTATTTTCTACGGTACGGCGGCAAATCCCATGCGGTTACGAAATAAAAGTTACTTCAAATCTGATAATAGTCGACAAGATGAGAAGACCTATCATATTAACGACGTTTATGATGCTAATGAGTATTCGCAATTTCTTAATGAAATAGAGCTTGGGATTTCAGATAGACGTAATTATCCTAAAAATATTCCTTCAGCTCAAAGAAAAAACGTTTTGGCAGATGCTAACGATAAGCAAGTTCAAAGACTGTGCGATCCCGAATGTGATTCGCAAGGTTGTTATGGTAAGGGTCCGACCCAATGTGTTGCTTGCAAACATTACCGCCTCGATAACTCCTGTGTGTCCAGATGTCCACCGAGAAGCTTTGTTAATCAAGGAGGTGTTTGTTGGCCTTGCCATGAGTCTTGCGAAACTTGCGCTGGAGCTGGACAAGATTCTTGTCTTACTTGTGCTCCAGCACATTTACTTGTTGTAGATTTAGCTGTATGTCTGCAACAATGTCCAGACGGTTATTATGAAGATCCCGACGCAAACGCTTGTTTTCCATGTGCAGAACACTGTGACACCTGCTCGGATAAAGCTGATTTGTGTTCTTCATGTGCTCATAATTATGAATTGTATAATGGGTCTTGTTTAGCCACTTGCCCCCCTGGAACGTTCAAAAAGGATGATTTTGGTTGTATGCGGTGTCATGAAACGTGTGAGTCATGTAGCGGCCCGAATGAATCTGAATGTGTTACTTGTAAAATTGGAGAGTACGCACTAGAAGGTCGCTGTGTATCAAACTGCCCTATTGGGAATTATGCAGATATTCAAAAAAAGGAATGCATATCGTGAGTAAAAACAACTTTTATTTATTCTTTTAAGCTATTAAGCTTTTTCAAAGAAAAATGTTTACGTTGTTAAAGGTGTCCGATTGGATGTTCAATTTGCACATATGCAATTTGTTCCGCTTGTCAAGATAAATGGGTTCTAACGAAAAAAGGAACATGTCAGCCTGAAGGAAACGATAAGTGTGATACCAGTGAGTGACCATTTTTTTATAAAATCTTGCACAATACCCGTTTTTTCATAAAATAATAAAAAGTTATTATTTCACTATATAATATTAATAGGAATCTCCAGTGAAATTTTTTCAATGTTCTAAAAATAAATTTATTTGATTGATATATACATACATAATTCAAATTAAGGAGTAGTTATAACAACATTTATATTAATATAAATGTATACTTTATTATTAAATCTTTATCACACTTTCCCTCAAATTAAATATATATGAATATACATACATACATATGTATAATACTAGATCTAAAAGCCAAAATTTGGGTGCTTTTTTAAGAAAAAATGCTATCAAAATAAAAATAATCTGTTATTTATATATTACATATTACATTTCTAGCATGACATTGTACGTGACATATACGCTAACAGTCACATATTAAAAAATTTGAGATTTATGAACTGTAACATACTTTTTACTCTCGCTCATCAAACCCCTTTTACATTTCACAAGATGTACGAAATGACACACAAAGCTTCACAAAGCATTTCTATACGAGCGGGAACGGGAGTTGAAAAATGTCAATTTAACAGATACCAGAACTTTTATAGCACAATGTTTGTCCTTTGTTTATTTGCGTTTGTTTATAGATGAGTATTACGAAGGAGGGCGGTGCAAAAATTGCCATTCCACTTGTGAGAAATGTAGTGGTCCTAATGAATGGGACTGTTTATCTTGTTCAAGTCCTCTGTTATTGCAGGGATCAAGGTGAGATCGTGTCATTGGAAAGACAAATATGTATACTTGTGTTGGAAATACAGCTTCAATTTGGTTTTAGGTGTGTTGCGGAATGCGGACAAGGCTTTTACCAGACAGCTGGGAGATGTTCGTTATGCCCGCACACATGCAAAACATGCGTGTCGAGGTTAAATTGTACGACTTGTGCTAATACTCTTAGATTACAATCCGGTACATGCCGTTCTACATGTGCAGCCGGTTACTATCCCGATGAAGGCACATGTTCCAAGTGTTACTTGTCTTGTGAGACCTGTACTGGTCCGAGAAGAGATCAATGCGCATCATGTCCTCCAGATTGGAGGCTGGCAGCGGGAGAATGTAGACCGGAATGTCCTCAAAACTTCTTTACATGGGGAGACAGTTGTCGTAGATGTCATCATTACTGCCAGGATTGCCATGGAGCTGGTCCCCAAAGGTGTACATCCTGTCCTCAGCATTTTTCCTTAGAGAGCGGTTTATGTGTTGAGTGCCTTAGTTCCCAATATTATGAGATTAGGACGAGGACTTGCCGTCCATGCCATGACTCTTGCAGGTCGTGTTCTGGACCTGGGCCTACTAGTTGTGTGACGTGTGCACATCCTCTTCGTTTAGATAGGTATGTATCAATTAAATGTAAGGAAAGAAAATCACAAATTGATCTAATGTAATTGAAGTGAAAATATTTAAAACATGTATGTATGAAGCTTAAAAAGCGTTTATGGATTTTACTCATTTCTTTTAATTAACTTTTATACTTCAACTTCAACTTAATCGAAATAACGCTAATATCATTTTCAAAACGTTCTTTGGTACCTAGTCACAATAAAAATGCGTTCACAAGAAACTGTACACGTGAAATATCTTTGAAGCATTTTGATATTAAATTAAAACAATAAACATTGCTTGAATTATGTTTTGCTCACATTTTGTAAGACATAAAATTGTGTAATACTTTTTGAATACACCGTACCTAATAAATTATTTAATATTATCTACATTGCAGACGTCATTTCATGTTTTGGAATAATGCTGTTAAATGTAGGATAGAGATAATTCGGATGCATTATAACATTTTATATCGTTGACATATTTTCGCAATGTCTGATATTGTTCGCTTTAAAGCGGACGAATTAAAAATTCTTTTGCAATAAAGAGAGAAAAGTTTCAGACTATGCTGAGTTTCATACATAAATCTTTTTTATTTTTACAGGGTGAATCACAAATGTTTGCCATGCTGTACAGAGAATTTAGTTTCATTTTACTTAAGCACTAATCAATCAACAGATTGCTGCCACTGTGATAAAGATATGGGTAAAGACATTTTATGGTTCTATTAATAATTCATTTATTAAAATTGAGCAGTTTGTATAGTATATCGTACAATCATATAATAGAATACATTATGAACGTGAAAAAAACATCAGCGGTGATAAAATAAATAGTCCATAAGCACATACATTTTTTGCTCAACATCTGGCGAATAGATAAGGTGATAAATAATCATAATTTATTGCAGGCGGTTGTCTGAACGGTTCATCGGCGGGTAAGAGACGCATTGCGGAGAACATTGGGGCGCATATGACGCCATCATTTTTTGTCGACGACGCGAAAGAGCAGAATATCTTAGACCGTGATTTATTGCTCCTTTTGAGTGCTGGAGCGGCGGTCCTTGTAATATCCATTGCAATGATTGTACTAAGGGTAAGTTATCCCAAAAAACCGATTGTAATGGAAAAATTTTAATATTATTCATCTGGATATCTCCAGATTTTCAATGTCAAAACTAATATGAAAATTATTTTTGTGAATAACTTACTTTGTGTGTTGAATGCTACTTACAATAGAAAAAATATTATCAATTTTATGGCGGCTATAAAACATCCCAATTCTTAGTATAAAAAGCATTTTATGTAGTAAATATGTTATTTCTGAAGTGATCATTACATGTAATGGTACTCAAAAATAAAACGAGTAAGCTTATTCCATCGCAATAAAAAAGAAATTTTGTTATAAAATACATATTCAACGAGATACATGTCAGAACTGTATTAAGTGATAATATATAAAATTACAGTTCAAGTCAAAAAAGTGCAAACATCTTTCACCGTTTCCAAGGACAGAATATTCGCAATTGACTTCCATAGACGAGGATTTCACAGCAGTCAGCTTATCGCATACTACGTTAAAAGTCATTCAAAGTGACATAAACACAAACCATCTGGAGGAACCAACATAACATTGCAATTTAAATCTTAAGTCAATGATATTAGATAAAATTTACACTACAGACTGATATCTAGAGGTTTGATAGGTTTTTTTATGCATATAACATGTAAATCACTGGTTTCCTGGAGGCCAAAATTATTTTTTATTCGGTTAACGACCAATGTATAAAGTTAACTACAGTTAACCTATGTATAGCACATCTTGCTTAAAATAACTCTTATATGGTATAGTCTTATAACTTCGTAAAATTATATGAAATGTCGTTTTAGTTATAAACTTTCGACCATATTTATATACTTAGATTTTGATTTAAGTGCTGTAAAATGTAATAACATATATCCATGTATGACTTGTAAATATTTTTTTCATTTTATAACTTGAAAGGAATGGGAGCTCATGGTTTTGCCTTCAACGTATTTCGCCTAAGAACATTTATAGAATGCGAATTTAGAACGAATAAAAGTATATTGCAAAAATATTTTTATTTATTTCAATAATATATCTTTGACTTCTATTAGATATATTCACTCATAAGTATTATAGATCTGTTATATTTTCTCAAAAATTGAATTATATGTATCATTGTTATGGTTTCTACTTATTCGTTTATCATATCCTATATTACTCGTTGAATTACGAGTATACTTTAAAATCCCCATATTTTTTGTAACCCCAAAGAAAATATAATACACAAATAGATGTAACAGTATTATTTAATTATACGAGCAATGTAATAAGGACATAAAATTTTATGAAAAATTTCATTATATTTTTAATTATACCGGCTCGGACGTTAAAAGGGATGTAAAAATTTAATAAATACAAACAAGATTACTTTTAAAGCTATAATCAAAACAATATTAAATAACCGTGACCTTTGATGATTTTGTATTTAAGCATGTTTTTCTATTACGTTATCACACAAAACTTTATTGGAAAAAAAAAAACAATTTTACATGAAATTATATCCTAACACTTTTTTCTTTGTTTTGTAAAATAAACTGAGATTATGCGAAATAAGATGTAATTAGGACACGATTTTACGAAAACCCTATGTTTTTTAATTTAATGTTTTATGTTTTTTAATTTAATGTAGTTTTTTAATGTTCGTCAATTATAAAATACTATAAATGTTCTTATCATTTAAAATAAGTCTCCATATAGATAATGTTTATTATGAAACATACATTTATCACAATCTTATAGTAATCAGTCTTAATATATTTGATGTATTAATCTTTTTAAGGTTTTTCGTTAGCCTGTATCCTCATGTATGGTTTCCGTGAGTTGTTGGTATTAAATTCTCATGTATTAATAAGATTTTTATTGCTTTCATAATAATTTAGATAAAATAAACCAAAAATTCTATGTAAATAGTGTTCTTATTGTGAGTTTGTTTCGTATGTAAATATGTATATAGACATGTAAATATATTGATGGTTTTTATGACGGGCATACTTTTGTTTTATTAATTTACACCTCTGTTAAGAAATAAGATATTTAATCCTTCGTTTTTACTTTTTATTTCAATTTCTTGAACCTAAATATATACTCGAGGTAATATATTCAAGGTTAGAGGCTTATATATATTGAATAAAAAGTATCCTTAGTGTCATAAATGATTGATCTACGAAGGAAAAGTTCCTTAAATGTCCAAAACTTTTTATTTAATCACAGGAAAATTGTATTCAATATTGTTTGGTATGAAAATACACATATTATTTATTTATGAAAATATACACTTTTATAAATAAAATAAAAAGGCTTGCAAGTCAATCCAATCATGAAATGTAATAACAGACATTGACAATATTACTAAGTAAAACGATAGCTTCGATTATGAAGATATAATATCCAATGTTTCTTTCCTCTAGATTATTACATTTTTATCGTAATTGGCTTTTAAAAACCTCATTTATCGTTAGTACCAAAACCAAGTTTATATTCAAATCAAACTTATTATTATTTAGGTGGGGATAAAGAAGATTTAAAAAAATTAAATAGAATTTTAATAAACCAAAATTTGAGTTTAAACAAAAAGAAATCACAGGCAACAATAGTGTATCTTGGATACAAGGATACTTTTCTTTACAGCATATTTTGAGCATACTATGTATAAAAAGTATATTGTCAATGTAAAGTATAAAAAGCGTTACGAAGTTAGATATTACTATATGTTTAAGATAGCCCGTTGCATCTTTATGATTATTCTTTACTTAATAAATGAATTACATTATAGTACCTAATTATATATAGATATTATAGAACACTTCCAGTAATTTAAGCAGCTTCAGTAATTGTCGTCAAATAATTAGAGTAGTTTATGTAACTTACATAAATTTAATGAATTATTTCTGATTTTACGGTCTCCTGGGTTATATACTGCGGCTATATTTCAAAGATTTGAAAGCAAAACTTTTCATTCAACAAAATATATCTTAAAATTAAAGTGGTAGACAACAGATGGACTCGAGTTTTGACAGGTGAGTCTTGAACAAATGTATCGCCATGATAAATGAAGAAGCGAGGGACCGAAGTTACAGTGACAAATGAGATAGCACGCAGATGCGATGCCTGTCGTTCATGATGTCCTGATAGTTCATTATTTATTTGGACAATCTATTCATGTCGTATAACAAGGATTTAATAAAAGCAAATATTAAATTAGCCTTCAACCTTATTATCCTTTCATTTAAATTAATATTCGTTCTGATAGTTAATTAACGATGTACTCACGAAAAATAAAGGGGTATAAAAAGAATATTTAAAGATTTAGAGGAAAAAATCTTTGTTGATGTATAGACTAGACCGAATTAAACTTTCTTTGGTTAGCCAAATTAGCGTAAAATAAAATATTTAATTAATTTACTTTTAAGTTGTAACGTTTTGTAAAATATCAACTACTAGCTTTCCGCCCGCAGCTTCGCCGCGTGGAGTTCGGTTATATCGCGTTTCCAAGAGAACCTTTCAAAAGTCTGGGATAAAAACTATCCTATGTTCTTTCTCAAGGTCAACTCTATCTCAGTACCGAATTTCATTAAAATCAGTTCAGTGGTTTAGGCGTGAAAGCGTAGCAGACAGACAGACAGAGTTACTTTCGCATTTATAATATTAGTAGGGATTAAGACCCACCTTTTACGCCTGTTTAAGTAAACAAGGTACTTCTGTCAAACGAATTTACTCGTCCTTCACGCGAAGTACCTCAATAGACAACACCTGTTTTCTGATAAAAAGTCTTCTAGTAAACAAACTTAGACCTTAATACAACGTTAGCTAAAGGTATGCCGAATTCCAGGGAAACATTTTTAATTAAAGTTACAAATATTTTATGAGATCTAAGATTTTCGCGGCTATTTATCTAAATTAAACAAAAAAAATTAGGATGATACTACGCGTAATTTCTTTTTAAAACTACATACTCCCGACGTTTCAGCAACCGTGATCACGGTTTTGTAGAACGGTAATAATAACGGGAATATAATCTAAAAGGTATTAGTTTCATTTTCTTATATTTAGTTCTCTATAAAGACAGACGTACAGAGTAAATCGCAGACTTAGTCTCACAAATAGCAATATGTTATATGAAATAATATGTACTTATTATGTCCCAAACGATAAATAGAAACGAAGACTTACAGATATGGATAATATAACCTGTGATAGAATTTATAACCTACTGTAATTAACACAATAACTGTGTTTTCTAAAAGAAAACATAACAAAGGGACATTGCATAAATGAGCACAATTATATTAACTACCAAGACAACGAAGGATCCAAGGATTTCCAGGTCAATTGCTCAAATTTTAAAATAATAAATAGCATTCAGACACTGGCGCAATCAATAGGTAATTCAATATAATTGTTGATTTGTTCTTGTTATTAAGGTTGATGGTTGATAACAGCCTAGCATTAGTTCCGTAATTTGTACAATATTCAGAAGATAGCTTTCGTTTAAGGAGTATGCTTACAGAAAGTCATATTCTGTTTTATTTCAAACATTCAATTTTAATCGTACTTATGCCATAGTATTTTACGAACGTTTATTTAGTAATATCTTGAAAGTAGTCCAATTACTCTATTTTTTAATAATTAGCCTCTGCTGGCTAGTAAAAAATTTTTCGTTTTCTTAAAAAATATGAAACTGTGGGTAATTTTTTAATATAAATCATTTGAATATATTTTATGAATATTTCTATTAAAGTTATTATTATATGAGGTGTGTGAAATGAGACATCATTTTTAATAGTTCTTTCAATTTGATCTCGAAAGAATCAACTAAAGAAAATTATAAAAATAAATGAATTTTTTGTATTTTTTTTATCCTATTTAATTGTTTTTTTTCGTGTAATATTTTCAAAACTTATTCACACAACTTTATTACTACTTGACCTATAAAAGTTTTTATGACAATTAATAAAATTTTCTTTGATGCACAAGAAGTGAGCGAGGGTGAGTATAAGAATGAATAAACGTAGAATGTTTTATATTCATTACTTACAATAATAATATGGGTTGGCACTTAAAAATGACGCCATTAGCGGGGCGACAATAAAAACAGATTATCGCTCCCAACAATAATACGAAATCCCGCGATACACACGGCAGTTGATCGTTAAATAATACATAATATATTATGCTACAGCATATGAATGTAGTTTCATTTAAATTTTATTAATTTCACAAAAGCTTATATGAAATTTATTTTACTTAATAATTTCGATCATTTTATAGTAACAAACGAAAGAAAGGTTATTTTTAATACTAAAAATAAACATCAACGAGCAAAAGTTTAATAAGTATTGAAAAGAATATTGATTTGAAGGGCTCAAACAAAATCATAACGACATTAATAGATAGAGATATAGTTATATATTTTAAAGGCTAAAAATATAAACTCCTATTCAAACCGTATGTGATTTGAGAGAAAAGGCTACTCCTATTTATTCCACGTTGAGTATACACTTAGAAGAAAACAAATGCCACTGAGGAAATAAGTCAGTATTCTAG